AAAAAAGTGAGATGAAAGACAATTTCACCTAAGTGATATACTATATTCAGTTTATGTAATAAGCCTAAATTTCAAAATATAAACATAGGTATGCAATGTTTTAAAGAGAAAATTGGTATCTCTTTGCCATCACAAAATGGCTATTGGACAAATACTTAAAGAAGATCCACTTGAGGGCCACCAAATTACTGCTCTGCCCTAGAATCCACCCCACATGTGCTGATTCACCCTGACCGAAGCCCCATTTTATTAGCATGTCCAGCAAGGAACATTATCCCAGGTCTTCTCCTTCCTCCCCTCCCTCCTCTCCTCTTTTTTTTTTTTTTTTTTTGAGACAGAGTCTCGCTCTATCCCACAGGCTGGAGTGGAGCAGGACAATCTCTGCCCACTGCAACATCTCCCTCTCGGGTTCAAGCAATTATCCTGCCTCAGCCTCCCTAGTAGCTGGGATTATAGGTGCCTGCCACCACGCCCAGCTAATTTTCTATTTTTAGCAGAGACTGGGTTTTGCCATGTTGGCCAGGCTGGTGTCAAACTCCTGACCTCAGGTGATTCGCCCGCCTCAGCCTCCCAAAGTCCTGGGATCACAGGCATGAACCTCCCGTGCCTGACTCCCCTCCTCTCCTTCTTAAAGTTGCCCCAACCTGAGCCATTTCTGTTCTTTGCTCTCTTTCCTACTTCAAAAGCAGAGGTTCCTCTTCCTTTCCAAAGCTGCTTCTTTCTTAGTTCCCACATCGAATTATGAGTTTATCAGTCATTTTCTCTCTCACCTCTCTGTCCCCTGTTCTTTACTTAAGTCCTTCCCCTTGGGCAACACCAGAAAGGGCTTGAGTCTGCCTTACCCAAACACACCCATTTTCTCCTCCCCAGCACCCTGATTTACTATCCTCTTTCTTTTCTGCACATCATCTCCAAACTTTCAAAGGCATCGTCTGTGTAAATAGCCTGTATTCCCTCACCACCTTCACATGCTTTCACCAGAAGTGCAAACAGACAGGCAGTGGAGTTGAGAGAGCCAGACCAGATGGGGCACACTGGAGGTGTCATAGAGCAAAGGGGCTCGCTGCCAGATGCACAAAAAACCAATATTGTGGCATCAGCTTTTGAGAAAAGAAAGGTTGATTGCAAGACTAGCCAGCAAGGAGACAGGAGATGCTCAAATCTGCCTCCTCAATCTGGGGTCTAGAGCAAGATTTAAGGGGTGATAGAGCAAGGGAAAGGATTTCGGAATGTTGGCTTGGAAGGGTCTGATTGGACAGATTCAAATTTGACCATTTACAGTAAAGTAGGTTGAGGTGGATTTTATACCCAAATCTCCTGGGCCAATGGCCCCTTCACTTTTGAAAGGGTTCCAGTATTCAGGTTCGAGTCATGTCACAGTCTTCCTGGTTCCATGGGGAGGAATTGTTGGTTCCAGGTGTTGTTAGGTGTTTTTCTATTGCGCCAGCCCAGGCTATATGACTTGCAGTTTGTCTCTGTTCTACCTACAAGGTAACTTGACATTCCATTATCAATAGAGTAGGCCCAGTTTTGGCTGGTCCTGCATTTACAGAGGGGGCAACTCCACTTACCTCCCCAACCCACGCCTCTGCTAGAAGAGCTCCAGCCAACACCCAGCTACAGAGGAATGAGAGCCTGAATTCCAAACCCACGTGATCTGAGGGACCAGATCACGTGGGTTTGGAACTATGAATTTTTATGTGAAAGCTACCAATTTTTAAATGCTATACATTTATTTGATGTTTTAAGTATTGAGGATCAAATTAAATACTACTTGTCAAATTCAACCTATGGTGCTGAAATTTGCAAACTATGCTTTAAACCTTCTGCTTCCTTCACCCAATGCTCTCCAAAATCAGTTCTCTTAAAGGTCACCAGTGACCTCTGAGCTGCCTTAAACAGTGGCCTTTCTCATCTCATCCTCCTCAAACTTCTGTGCATGTAGCAAGTTGTATCACAAACTCCTGTGTTGCACTGCCAGAACTATGATGATTCCATGATTCCACCTTCCACTTCTTATTCTATCTTGTCTCCTCTTTCTTTGGCTTACCTTGCCAGATCATGTCCTGTTTTCTCCTTTCAAAAATCTTTAATTGCAAAGATCATCTATTCTTTGGGCTTGGACTGTTTCAGCTACAGAGGTCACTCCCAAAAATATCTCTAGCTCCTCTGCTCAGCTCCAGTCTCACTTTTCTGTGTTGTGTGCAAGACCCCCAAAATCCCTGTGCTAACTCATCATCCTCCTTGGCACCACTGCCTCCAAACTTGTTTATTCCAGCCCTTTCTTCCTGATAAACCAGGTGCAAAAGTTCACCCCTTGCTCCCTCTATTCTAACACCCCATCAATTGTCATTTCTCTTTTCTGCTTTTTGAAAAAATCTGTCATTAATGGCTTCTTTTCATTCCTTCTGCTTCTACTCTCACTGGCTCTCAGCTGGACCATTTCCCAAACCCTCATTCTTACCTCTTTCCCTCTGCTGCACTGCAGCTCAAATCCTGCCACTCCTCTGCTTGGAACAACGAAATGACTTCCCCTTGCTTACATAGAATGTATAACTTCAAGACTCCCTGTAAGCTTACCCTTCCCTATCTTTCCAGGCTGTTCTCCCTCCACTCCCTTTCCAATGCATTTCAACCACTTCTGTACCTGTTCCCTAAACACAACTGGCTCTCCCTGCTTAAGCCACTCTCTCTGCATGAAGTATCCTTCCTTCCCTCTACCAAAATTCCAATGGCAAGCAAAGCCCTTTTGGAATGCCCCAATTGCCTCTTGATTAATGTAATCCTTCTCTTCTCTGAAACCCTATGCCCCTCTACCTATTCCTCTGGTGGTCCTAATCACAGTCAGTTCTCAGTTAGAGTTTTTGATGTATGTGTTATCCTTGTAGAGAGTGGTTTCCAGGAATGGCAGACTTTGAGTCCCAGCTGTCTTGGCTTCCACACAACCCTAGCACAGTAACCTCCATCTATAATACATACACTTGAGGACCAGATGACTGGGCCAGCGTTCTGACTGTATGTATAATAGGCACATCGTAGGTTTTCATCAGCTGGGTCTGAGTCTGGTAGGATGGGAAAGCGAGGCCTGCCTGACTTGCAGAGTGAGGAAATCTTGGAATTAGAACAATACATACATAGTGGGTGAGTTACAGCGGTGGGCTCACATTTCTCATTTTACCTTGACACTGGTTCACATCAAGTGGACTTTACTGCTATTTCGAGTTCTCCTTCCTAAATTTCTAGCTTCCAATTTGAGATTAGAACTGTTCCTCAGTCACCAGGATAGCAAGCTCTTTTGTGTCTTTTTGTCTGAAGAAAAATAATTCTCAAAGTTCCCCCTCCCATTCTGCCATTCTACATACAGTATTGCCTTGGACTTGCCCTACTCCAGGATTCAGGATCTGACCCATAAAGTTGCCTGGGCCTACAAAGTTTCCATTTTGTTCCCTTTAAAAATAAATGCAGTATTTTTATATTGAAATAAGAATGCATCCCACATGGTCAAACATAATTCAAACAGAGCACAGTGTATGTTCAATGAAAAGTCTCCCTCCCACACCACAGTCCCTGAGTTCATCTCCTCAAAGACAACCAGTCTACCATTTTCTCGGGTACCCTTCCACTTTTCCCTCACTTGCAATGTAATGATTGCTGTTTTTACAGGAACAAAAGAACACAGTGCACACTCCTGTGCTCCTTAGATTTTGTTAACAATATTCAGTAATTTGTAAACCTAAGCGAATACATGCAAAGCCATTAGAACAGTGCCCAGTCCACAGTTAATGCTAAATAAATGTCCCTTCACATGGGGCATATCAAAAAACATACTGCAGCCTTCAAGAGTTTAAACCAACTAGACCCTAGGAGCACACAAGAAAATGATCCAGAGCCCAGAGGTGCTTTGTTCCACTCACATTTTCAGAGATAGGGTCCCTGCAGGCTTGGCTGTCACGTCTCCCACTTCATGTGTGGCATTTGGAGAAAATATTGCCATCAGAGCTCACCTTCCCCTAAATGAAGTCACACACCTACCTCCCTCTGATTCTGCCAAGCCTAAAGAATACAAGAAAGAATAAACGCTTCATAGTGGGTTTTGCTGCAACCACTTTCAGAACACGGAGAAAAATGCCTTCTTGTCCTTTAATTTGATTGCGCGGTAATGAAAGATAAATTCAATCAGATATAATGAGCTGTGTTGAGTCAGCATCCCAAAGAGTGTGGCCAAAGCTGGCTCAGCTCTGCACCAGGTCATGGCTGTTTCTAAAGGGTTATGCGGACAGTCCCTTGGTTTTGGCCACTGTCCCAAACCTACCCACCCAAGTCCCTGAATTAGGACAGAACTCACAGGTGATGTAAATTCAGAAGTTAATTAGGGCAAGGGCAAGTCATGGGGAAGAGACCAGTGAAGTCTCTGTTTCTCTTCGGAAGCAGTTTTCAGTGCAGAGGGCTTTCTGTGATAGGCTGAGGAACGCATCCTCTGTTTTCACCACTTTCAGTTCCCCAGTGAGGGAAGCCTGCCAGCACTTCCTGGTTTTGAACACCGAGGACCCTTTCACTAGCCTGGGGCCACACCGGCAGCTCACAGCCACCCTGCCCAGCCGGCTCCTGGTCAGACCAGCAACCCAGATCAGCCTGTGGGGCTAGAGCAGGGGAAGGGCACGGGTTCTCTGAATATTTGGTCGTTTGGGTGTCTGTGGAGTTTGGGAGAGCTCATGACTGCATTTAGGAAGGAGGCTGGTGACTTAAGTAAACACGAGCCATGCCGCTCCAGAACAAATAGTTGACAGTCCATTTAAATTCATTCTCCCCAGAGACTTTCGTTGCAAATACACAAGGTTTGTGGGCTCAAGGACGTGCGCGCACACACACAGGGTCTGCCCGGCAACTGAAGATGGGGAGAAATGCCATGACAGTGGCGATCCGATCTCACAGGGGAGGAAACGTGAGAGGCCTGACCCTTCCACGTTCCTGGCTGAGAGGCTTATGTGGGGTGAGGGACTGGGTCAAAACAAGGCCCAGCAATCACAGACAACTGTTCTTTCCACTGAGTCTCCGCCACATTCCTCAAAGCCCTGTGCACCCGATCCACACACCAGCATAGCTGCACATTCACGGGGGAAAGGAGCCTAATTTCAGAACAGCTGCGGCTTCTTCACTGAGCCCCTCGTATAAACTTTCCCAGAGGCCCTGACAACCAGAATATCAAAACTCCAGGAAGAAGTTGAGTAAACAGGTCACAGTTACCTAAAGTGGCACTCAGCCAAGCCACCTGTGCCAACAGAGATCCAGGGGCTGAATGACCTCAACTGCTCCAGACCGGAACAAGGAGAAACTTTGCTGCAGCAACATAATTGGGCCACTAGAGCCCTATGCGCAAAGGCAAGGGTCAGAACGACACCCCAAAGCACGTCCTTACCTAGAGCTGTGGGTGTAAATGCCGAGACTCAGACCAACCTCAAGAGGAAGGTAAGGGTCCACAGTGACTGCTCATCACGGAGGGAATGAAGGCTGTGGGCCGAGCATTGTTCTGGAGGAGGAATCGGACCAAGTCCTCTGTGCGCAGATAGGGGAGAGGAGCAGGGCGTAAGTTCAGAGAAGGATGGATGACAACTCCATGCAGCTGTCTGGAAAGTTCAGCGCTGTTGAGCCATTCCAGTGACTTTAGGGAATTAAAATGTTTGGGGTAGAAGTTCCAGACAAAACTCTGAATTTAGGCTAGCTTTCAGTTACATGAACCAAAAACCTTGGTGATATTCTTGACCTCTCTCTTCTCTCTCTCTCTTCCTCCAAACCCCCACCCCTCCGTATCCAATTTGTCAGAAATTCCTGTTGGCCCTGTTTTCAAAATGTATCTAAAATCTAATTATTTTCTCAGAACCTCCGTTGCTGTCACCCTGGTCCAAGCCGCCATCATCTCTCACCTCAGTTGCTGGAAGGACTCCTCCTGGGTGCCTGTTTCAACTCTCGGTCCCTTACAGTCCACAGGGGAGCTGGAGAGATACTTTTAAAATATGTCAGATGATGGCCCTTCTCTGCTGCAAGAAACCAATGTCCTTTCACTGCCCTAAAAGACCCTACACGTTTGGATCCCCCGGCAGCTCTGCCTTCATCTATGGCCTCTTTCCACCTAGCTCACGTGCTCCAGCCACGCCGGCCTCCTCATCGGTCCTGACCAGGACCACCTTTGCCTCCTGGGTTTCCTCAGGTGCAGCTCCCTCAGCCTGGGGAACTCCTTTCTGAGATGCATTCATGACTCACCCACCTCCTCAGCTCCTTCAGGCCTTTTCTCAAATTTCAACTTCTCAAGAAGCTCTGCACCATCTAAAAATTGCAAATGTATACAACCCTTCTCTAAACTGCTCTATTTTTCTCGTATCACTTATCCCTTTCTAAGGTTATAGTTAAGCACATATACATACATAAAATGCATTTATTATGTATTAATTATGCCTTTGTCTTCTCTCAAGCTAGAAGGTAAAGCTCTGTGAAAACAAGGAATTTCATATTATGTGTTAATCACTGGATCCTGTGAGCTTAATACAATGCCTGGCATATAGATGGTTCTTATAGGAACAGTTTAAATCAACAAAGTAATTTGGGGTTTAAAAAATATATTTAATGGTCCCTTTACCAGACTGGGAGCTTCCTCGTGGTGGAAAAGGTGCCATCCATCTATTCACATATATATTAAATATTTATTGAGCATCTACTCTGTACTAAGCACTATATGCTGAGACCTAAAATACAATGATGAACAAAACATGTATGGTCCTGCCTTCACAATGCCAATAATCTAGTGACTAGAGACAGACACTTAACAAATAACATCACAAATAAAGAGAAAATTACAATGGGCATCAATGAACTATTAAAATAAGAATGAGGACCAGGTGCGGTGGCTCAAGCCTGTAATCCCAGCACTTTACGAGGCCAAGGCCGGTGGATCACGAGGTCAAGAGTTCAAGACCAGCCTGGCCAAGATGGTGAAACTCCGTTTCTACTAAAAATACAAAAATTAGACAGGCGTGGTGGCGGGCACCTGTAATCCCAGCTACTCGGGAGACTGAGGCAGAGAATCGCTTGAACTCAGAAGGCAGAGGCTGCAGTGAGCCAAGATCAGGCCACTGCAGTCCAGCCTGGGTATCAGAGCAAGACTCCGTCTCAAAAAAAAAAAAAAAAAAAAAAGAATGGGAAAGATATTATGTTTTCAGTTAGGTTGGTGGCAGAGGAGAGGGAAATTACTGAGGAAATTTAAGATTTATTAACGAGAACATGGTGATCTTGAAAAAAAAAGATTTTTTAAAAGAAAATACAGGAATTATGGATGGATTAAATGGTGTTGAGGAGAATTTTATGACAAACGTGAGTTCCAAATTTCTGGTTTAAGACATTGGGTGGATAAAATTGCTGTTGTATGAATTGATATAATAGGCTGAATAATAGTCCTCCGAAGAAATTCATGTCCTAATCCCTGGGACCTGTAAATGTTCTCTTATTTGGAAAAACATAGTCTTTGTAGATGTGACTGAGGACCTTCACATGGGGAGATGATCTTGGATTATCTGGGTGGAACCTAAATGTGGTCACGTGTATCCTTATAAAAAAGAGGCAGAAGGTGATTAAAACATATACACATATACAGAGGAGAAGGCCATGTAAAGACAGGGCAGAAAGAGAATTGAACATGCTGGCCTCCAAGATTGGAGTGATGCCACCACAAGCCAAGTGTGACAATTTTATGTGTCAACTTGACTGGGCCATGGAGTGCCCAGACATTTGACCAAACATTATTTTTAATGTGACTGTGAAGGTGTTTCTGGTTGAGATCAACATTTAAATGAATAGACTGAGTAAAGTAGATTGCCCTCACCAAAGTGGGCCGGCCTTATTCAATCAACTGAAGATCTGAGTCAAAGAAAAAGGCCGAGTAAGAGGGAATTTCTCCTATGTGACTGCATGAGCTGGAGCACTGGTCTTCTCTAGAGAGATAGGTTGATCCTATTGGTTCTGTTTCTTAGGAGAACACTGACTAATACACCAAAGAATACCAGCAGCCAACAGGAGCAGTAAGAGGCAAGGAACACATTCACCCCTAAGGCGCCAGAGGGAGTGCACCCCTGCCAACACCTTGATTTCAACCCAGAGGAATTGATTTTAGATTTCTGGCCTTCAGGACTATGAGAAAATAAATGTGTGCTGGTTTAAGTCAGCTCATTTTTAGTAATTTATTACAGAAGCCATAGGAAATTAATACAATAGGAACTATTATACAATAGTTCTCAGGGGGTGGTGTATCAAGATTCCATCTGGGGCCAGGTGTGGTGGTTCATGCCTGTAATCCCAGCATTTTGGGAGGCCGAGGCAGGGGGATTACCTGAGGTGAGGAGTTCAAGACCTGCCTGGCCAACATGGCAAAACCTCGTCTCTACCTAAAAATACAAAAATTAGCTGGGTGTGGCGGTATGCACCTGTAATCCCTGCTACTCAGGAGGCTGAGGCAGGAGAATCGCTTGAATCCAGGAGGTGGAGGTTGCAGTAATCCAAGATCGTGCCACCACACTCCAGCCTGGGTGACAGAGTGAGACTCTGTCTCAAAAATAATAATAATAAAAAATAATAAAAATTAAAATAATTTTTTAAAATTCCATTTGGAACATGAAATCTGAGATGTCTAGCACACACCTCTGGAAAGGAAGGCCAAATAGGGATTTGGATATGCAGGTATGGGACTGACAGAATGGTCTGAGCACAGGCTTGAAGTTCCAAAGTCCCAGGGACTGAAAAGCCATGGGAAGTGAAGTGAGAAAGAAAGACAGCCAAGCACGTGTCCTGACTCTCAACATTGGGAGATCAGGTGGAAAGGTAGCCTGAGAAAGAAACTAGGAGAACATGGGGTCTTGGAGGCCAAGGGAGGTGAGTCGTTTTGAATGACAGGGTGATCATCCCTGGAACAGAATCCAATCTGGAGTACATCTTATGATAAGGATGAGGAGGAAGCAGAAACAGCCTGTGTGGGTGACTTATTCTTGAAGTTTGGCCTGGAAAGTGCATAAAGAAAGTAGATAGTTGCTATAAATATTGGATCCAGGAAAGCTTTTTTTATTCTTATTTTCATGTGGCAGAGTTTAGGGCAATTGCACATGATTTGGAAAATGATCCAAAACCGGAATGGTTAGAAACGCAGGTAAGAGTGGGGCTACTTGCTGAAGCCTGAGAAGGCAGAAACAGAGGATGCAGAGAGCAGGTCTCAATCCTGACTGCAGTTTAGGATCCCCTCGGGACATTTTCTGGACTCCCCATGCCCAGCCTAAACCCAAGACGAATGACATCAGACTTTTTGATTTGGGACCCAGGCATCAATCACTGTCAAAGCTCCCCAGGTGATCCCGATGAGTGGTTCCGGGGATTCGAGCACACCTGGAAGGCGTGGCAGTGCATCCAGGGAGGATCAGGTGCATGTGTAGGCACACGGATAGGTAGGTTAAAAGGTTTGCTGGGTGTAAATCAAGGAGTTCCTAACTTCAGCTTTCTATTTCCAAAGTTCAAGGCAAGGTCATCTACTAAGCATGTGCTGAGCATGTAATGGAAGAAGGGGGAGGCTAAGGGGTGAAGAAACCTAAAGATGACACAGTTCATCCTGAGAGTGGAAAAGGGAAGATGCCCCATCTGGAGAACGACGGCAAGAATGCTGGGCAGACTGGGAGTTTATAGCCATGCCATCCAGCCATTCATTCCCCTGACAGTTGTCAGGCAGACACCAAACTACGGGATGGGGCTCAAGCATGAGAAAGACATTGTCCCTGAACTCACAGATTTCGCAGTTCAATGGAGGAGGGACACATATTAACAAACAGAAGATTCAGGTGCTACAATCGAATCAGGCACAAGAGAAATTTGGAACTCTAATTCCAAATTTGTGGGGGGGGAACAGAAGCCATCTCCTCAGCACATAGGATGCTCCTGAGACATGTCCCTTTTTCTCCAAGCACCTTACTCTTGTGGGAAAACAAAGGGAGATATAACTTAGTGCATATTCTCCAGGGATCGCTAATGCAGCCCCAAAACAGTTATGACACATCAGCAGCACCATGCCACATGGGGCCTCCGAGGAGGAGAAAGTCTCAGAGATGTCTGGAAGGGCCGCAAGGCTGAGGTCACCACGAATTTTCAGGTGGTAATCTCCAAGTGACATTCAGAAAGTGGTCACTAGGTGGCAGGGTTAGCATTTGCAAACTAACTCCTGTCACTGCCTACCGTAGAGGAATGAACCTGACAACGCTCCACGCGGAAAACCCAAACTTCAGGCCTGCCTACAGTTTGCCGTGCCGAGGTAGCCAGCAAGAAGAGTCATCAGTCAATAATGATTTCAGGTGGCTGTTTAATCTGAACTCACTGACCCGTGTTTATTTGGTTTCATTTCTCTCCAGCTCACGTGTGCCTCTCGAACACTTGAAATGGAGACTGAGAAACTGAATATTACATTTTATTTCATTTTAACTTGTTCAAACATTAAAAATTAGTACTTGATTCAGTGATTGAAAAACTTTTAAGTGTGCCTAGAACAACTTGGTTATGTGAATCTAGTATTTTAGCTATGAATTTTATGAAATCTAAATACAGATCAAATATTTCCAGTGTCAGCATAGTGCCAACATTGAGATGTGATGGAAATGGAAAACAAGCCCTGGGTTTTGAAGACACAATATGAAGTCAGAAGGTAAACATCTCATTAATATTTCACATCAGTTACATTGATTTTATATGATTGCAATAATATTTTGATATATTGAGTTAAATAAAATATATTCCTGAAATTAATTAATTTTTCACTTTGGGGCAGGGAGGACTGCCATATCATCTATTAAGAGAAAGCAAAATGAAGCAAGGAGCTGCTCTGGGAACACACAGGGCGATGGCACAAGAACACAATAGCTACTGTGTCCCACAATCCCAGAGGCCCCTGCCCGCTTCCTCCACCAGGGCCTGCCCAGGGTCTCAGGGCAGCCTCCATACCCTGCATCCCTCCAGACCACCTCCCTCCCCTTGGGGCATCCTCCCTCCATACATGGTCAGGTATTTTTCTCTGGATTCAAGCAGACAACAATGACATTTTATTTTCTGTTCGTCTCCTCCAACCACCCTACTCCCACCTCATCTCCCTCCTCCCACTTCCCCTCCCTGTCTCCCTTTTGACTGAAGAAACCCCGCTCTCTTGGTCTTCCAGTGAGGCTGCAGTGACTACAGTGGACCCCTTCCCGTCCACTCATCCCCACCCTGGTCCAGTTTCCCAGACCCCGATGCAGTTGGTTGTAAATTCTTCCAGGAGCTGCTTTCTATCTACTTTTTGGGAATTTTTTTTAAAGTAAAAAACTTAAAACACAAGTTTAAAAAGCAAAATGTGGAAGAAGAAAGCAATGACAGATTTGTTTGGTGATTTTTTTTTC